GCCCCCCGCGCGCCCGCCCGCCCCCGCGCGGCCGGCGAGGCGGGCGCTGCCGCGCGGGCCCCGTTTTACGGCCCTGCAACCGCGGCTGGACGGCGGTTCGCGGCGATTGGCGCCAGCGCAGGGCAGACCGCGCCTCGGAGCGGGGCAGCTTCCCGCGGGGCCTGGGGCAGCAAGCACGGCTCCCTCTGCCACCCTGCGCAGAACTGCCCCGTCAGTGGTCGTTCGGGCAACGGCCAGAGGTGGTGCCGGCAGGCGGCCCCCGGGGGGGTGCCCCAAATCTTCCATGTGGTGCCCGGAGCCTTGGGGGGGGGTCCCCTGCTGTACACCCTGCTCTCCACGGCACTCTCGCAAACCACGGTCCGGGACCCCGAGGATCATGAGGCATCCGATCCTGTGGGATTAGTGGCCTTCGGGCCCACACTTGCTGTTTCCTAGCCTGAACTCTTTCTGTCTAACAGGGCTGTTTGGCTGCTTTTCCCAGAAATCCAATGCTCTCTGCCCTGGACACAAACACCGGTGTCCCCAGGAGACAGGGCTGTCCTCCTTTCCCGACTTCAGACCACTGCAAGAGCATATGCCTTTTTGGGAAGGGGGCATCCATGGGCCTGTTCCCCCGAGCCTGGCACCTAGCACCAACCCTGGCCACATCTGCAGCCTGCCGCACCAAAGGGGTTACCGTTACCTGTGCAACCGCCTACAGCAAAGGTTCTACAATCCACGCCATACTCCAGCCTTCCTTCTCCAAGCTGGTGCCCTCCAGATGTTTTGGACCACCGTTCCCAGCAATCCCAACCACTGGCTCTCCTGGCTTGGGCTAACAGGAACTGAAGTACGAAACATCTGGAGGGGCGTCATGTTGGAGGTTCTTTCTGATAACGGGGGGGGGGGGGCATTGGTACATCTGACCAGAGTGGTCTTGTAACTCGTCCTCCTGCTTCAGCCTAGAGATCTGGTAGGTGATGTGAATTTGCCCTCATGCAGCCAAGTCTAAGCCCATCTTGACTCCACGCACTTAACTCTCTCCTCCTGGAGCCAACGGCATCTTTTAAATGCTTAGCTGTGGCTTGTTGCCTATGGAATTGTGCAACCTGGAAATGGCATTGGGAGGCGGATACGTAACACCTGTGGGGAAAACCGATGCTGCCAGAAGTGTGAGAATGGGAGGGAAATGCAAGCCCCCAGCCAGCAGCATTGGATAGTTTGTACCGAAGAGTGCCTCTTTTGTACATGGGCCTGCCTTCCCTGCAGATGTACCTTCACGGGGTTCATTTTAGCTCTAGGTGAAGACCTTTTTATTGCCCTCGGCTTTTAGGTCACTGCTTTTAAAAGCCGTGTTCATACATTTCAGATCTTGCACTGCTATTGGGTTACAGTCAGGTCTCATTCTCTTGTTTTAAACTTGCGTAGGTTATTTTGCTGTTGTAATGTTTGAGCTGAGCTTTATGAGAGCTTTAGCTATTGGCTGGAATACCCATGGAATAAACCAGTTTGCAACCCTAGGCATGTGCAAACACAAGAAGCAGTACACAGGAGGTACTGCCCATCAGCCAGCCAGCCTGGCCATCCGGAGGGCACCCCGATGAGGAAGGCGGACACGCCGCGGACAGCAGGAGAGGAGGGTGTTAGACAGGCGGCCCTGAAAAGCCCCAGGGCCTGGGGCCCTCGCTGCCGCCGCCACCGCCACCAATTTAATGTCTCTGCCACACCAGCCCGAGCGGTTGCCCCCCGCCCCGCCACGGATCAGTTCCGCTTCCAACTCGCCCGGTGCTCCGAGCCACGGAGCGGGCAGCACGTCCTTCCGGGGAGGCCGCTGGACGCGCCGCACCTGCCACTCCAGCATCGTTTTGCGGGTCGCGCCCTCCGCATGCACCGCGCCTGGAGGGGCCTCTTCCTGGCAGCCCCCGCCACTGTGTGAGGACCCCAATCTCCCCCCCCCCCACCGAACACGGCTCGGTCTGCAGCCCCCCGACTGAGCCTTCCGGGGGGAATCTTCGCGCTGCCCCCGCCCGCGGGAGACGCCCCGGGCTCACGGGGCTGCCGGCCGGCCTGCCCGGCACCAACCGGCCCAGGAACCCGCGAGCGGCGGGAGGCGGGCGGGGGGAAGGGTTTACCGGAGGCACCGCTGGCCGCCGCTTCCGGGGCCCCTCGCCGCGCTCGCTGAACCGTCCGAGCACGAAGAGGTTAACGCGCTTGGTCCGGCCGGGCGGCTGGGAGGACCCGATTGGCCGGCTGCTCTTCCGGCTCCGCGCTTCCTGTCGGGGGAGGAGTCCCGCGAGGAGCGCCCTCCCCCGAGGCGGCAGCGCCCCCTGCAGGCGGGAGGCGAGAGGGCCGCAGCGAAGCCCCGCCAGTTCCCTGCAGCCGCCAGCGGGCTCAGCGGGCCGGGGATGGTGGGGGTTGCAGTCCAGCACATCTGGAGGGCGCCTTTCCCCTTTGGAGCGTCGGGAGCGGATGGACTGCAGATCCCATCTTCCCCAGCCGCGCGGCACATTGGCTGGGGAAGAAGGGAAATGTAGGCAGCCAGCGTGGTGCCGCGGTGAAGAGCGCGGGACGGGGACTCAGGTGACCCGGGTTCCAGGCCCCGCTCAGCCACGCGCCGGGGGTGGCTCTGGGCCAGGCACAGGCCCTCAGCCCGGCCTACCTCGCAGGGCTGTTGTTTCGAGGACAGAATGGCGAGGAGCGGAAGAAGAGGGCGCGGTATAAATCAAACCAGTGGGCGAACCTGGGCGCGCCTGCAACCGCCCGCCTTCGCGCGGTGGTCGGGGCAGCTCCCTCCCGCGGGGCCTCCCTTGCCCGGCTGCTCCCAGGCCGTGCCGCGCTTCATGAATGGGGCCGCCTGTGCGGCTGCTCTGTACGTGCGCCGCCGCGGCTCCCGCAGGAGCCCCCCCCCCCCGAGCGCTGCGGCCTGTGCTTGCCCCGAGAGCCCCCCGCCAAGCGGCGGAGACTCCTCCCGGGGCTTGCAGCGTGGCCTCTGGGGCTTCAAGCGCGTGGCGCAGGCGCCTCTTCCGCGCGCCCCTTTTCCGTCGGGGAGCGAGGCTTCCTGGGGCCGAGCTGGGGCCCGTCGCTTCGGCGGCCGGGACGGTGTTCACTGGGTCAGCGTTTCCAGGCAGCCCCCCAAAACATAGCCAGGGCGGGAGCCGCCAGCCAGCTCTGCACATGGTGGGCATGTCGAGAGCGGAGCCGGGTCAGACTAGATGGCCCGCGAGACCCCTTCTGACTCGCCCTGTTTCTATGTTTCTATGAGCTGAAGCAGGTGCTGGAAAATCAGTTCTTTCTCACAGTTCTGGGAGTGCTGGACATTCCACAGAAGGCAAATGGTTCCTTAGCCGCTGATGGGAACCATGATCTAACCAGGACTGTAAAATCCTCCAAGCTGAAGGAACCAAGGTTCCGTTTGGATGCCAGGAAGCACTTCCTGACAGTCAGGACCCCGAGGGTGTGGAATGGGCTTCCGCGGGAGGTCGTTGAGGCCCCATCTTTGCAGGTGTTCAAGGATAGGCTGGACGTCCACATGGTGGGCATATCGTGAGCAGAGCCGGGTCAGACTAGATGGCCCGCATGACCCCTTCTGGCTCGCTCTGCTTCTCCGTTTCTCCTCATCCTGCTGAAAGCAGCAGAGACGAGAAGTGGGGCCGCCGCCCAAGTTGGATGTTATTCAGGTGCATTACGAGGCTGACGTCCGGTTACGATACCAAGTTTCTTCTGTCACAGCCTTCGCCAACCTGGTGCCCTCCAGAGGCACTGGACTACAGTTCCCATAAGGCCTCAGCCAGCACAGCAAGCTCCGGCTTTACAGCCCCGGAGGGGAAGGCGGGCCTATAACACAACTTCCAGCTGTGTAGGTGGTGGGTCCCTGCGCTGGCCGGGGAAGCCAGCCCCTAGTGGCTGAAGAGATTGCTGCAGGCTTCAACCACACAGACAAATCTAAATTAACCTTAATCCATGTGGTTTAAAAACAAGGTAACTTGGAGGTGCAAACCTCTAGGGTCCCTTACATATGCATGCCAAGTTTCCGGAGTCTAGATTTCATCGTCTTGCTGCTGACGAACGGACAAACTGACTTCTTAAATAGTTTAAAATGATTTAGGTTGAATTTTTTTTTTTTTTTTTAGGTTTAAATTTTTTTAAAATGATTTAGGCCTGCCCTTCAGCCCGTTTTCTCTGCTTGCTCTCCCTTCCCTATCAAACATGGCAGCGTTGGGTTTGCTTTGGGCTTCTAAGGGCTTGACAAAGCATCCGTTTCCACTGCCAGCATTTCCCCAAGGCAGCGGCAAGCTGGGATGTCTCCCTTCTTGCCCCCCACCCAACAGATCCACCTGCACCCTAGAACAGACGGGATTTCCTGGATCAAGCAGGAACACAACTGTGAGCCCAGAAGCACCGAGAAGGGTGCAGCGACCTCTCCCCCTGAATTGGCCTCCTCCAACGGGGAGACCTGGCTGGGGACGCTGAGTTGCGGTCCGACACTTCTGAGGCCTTTGGGACGGAGATGGCGAATGCGGCTCTGAACCAGGAGATGAAGGAAAAGACGAGCCCTGCAGGTCACTTAGCATGACCTTTGGAAGGGCTCACTCAGCCAGAACTGCAGGTACCCTCAGGGCTTGGGCAGCCCCCACACAAGAGGTGTGGGCGACTGGAATTCTCACGTGCTCCCTGAAAAGGCCGTCTGCCCGCGGGCCAGCTTGCCGTCCCCAGCCCCATGAGAAGAGCAGGCCTGGAGAAGCTACGCAGCAGATGGAGCGCGGTTTGTCCAGCCGGGCGGTTGGACCCTGTTCTACCTGAGGCCCAAGTTCCGTTTTGGAGGTGCTCCATTCACGTGAGGAGAATAGCCAAAGGCAAAAGGGGCATGCTAAAGTACCCCAAATTTTAGCCTCAAGCTCTTACTGCCAGCAACTAAGCCTTAGGAGAGGAATTTGGAAACAGCTGCCACAAAGAATCTGTGGCTGAAAAGGAGAAACACCCAAACAAGTCTTTTCCAGCTCCTGGAAACTGTTCTCCGTCACACTGGAGATGCTTTCTTGGCCTCAAGGCTGCAGGACGAGCAAATACCACAGAACCAGCGTATAGCCAAAGCTTGACGGCAGAGAAAAGCGAGCGCTAAGCGACTGCACACACACGGCGCCTGAAAAGGTGCCTGGAGGGCAGCCCTCAGGGGCCGAAGAGAATCGGGGGCCAGGCACTCTTGGCCACCGCCTGATCAGAGTGCGCAGGTCGACGGAGGCCAGGCGCTGGCCACATCGAAAGAATCTGCATGGAGCCAGACTGGGAATGCCGAAGGCAGCTCGGGGACACGGCTGGAGGGGCGTGTACACCCCCCGGCCACCAGTGGCTTCTCTTTCTCTCCTCCGGTTGGTCAGGTTCTTGAGGGACTGAGCAGAAGCCGCCAGAGGAAGAGAAGGCAGCAGAGGAGCCTCCGGTGGAAGGAGACGCCGGCCACCAGCTCGGCTGCAGGCGGCTTCATCTGCCTTGACTTCCGGACACCCAATCCAGCTCACACTGCACTGTGGGTTTCCCGCAAGCCACACCACTGGGAGGCCAGGAAGCTTGGCCTCTCCTCTCCCCTCCCCTCCCCTGACCACACTCCCAGTGTGTAGGCTGTGACACCCAGCATCCCTGAACACCCGATGTGCTGGCAGGGGCTGATGGAACTCTCTGGAGGGCGGCTGCCTTCCGCTGGGGACCCGCCTCCGCTGTGGCCCTGGGGCAGCCTCTCCAGGCACCCACTCGTGCTTGCGTGTGGGCAAGTGCAGGAAGGACTCTGCCTGCCGGGACCCCCTGCTGGAGCACCAGGGAGGTGGTGGCCCCACCCCAGAGCCGGGAACCCTGCAATGGGAAAAGACCCCGAAGGGCCACGGGCAGGTTCTCAGGGCAGGGCTGGGGAACCTTCGTCTTGGTTCTCCGCCTGCAACGGGTGTCTGAGCCAGGGGGCTGAAGGATCTCTCCTCCTCCTGAGCAGAACTGCTGCTTTGGCACGAAGGGTGTCCTTGAACCCCAGACCTGTTGCAAAAACAGCCCCAATTTTGCAAGCAGATGCCCTTGCCCGGGCAGCGTGGATTGTTCCCGAGAATCCTGGCGGGCAAACCACCTCCAGCACAAAGTCCAGTCCCCATGACTGAAATCCTAGTCTGGATTCTCTTCCCGCCCCAGTTCAGAGTCTAGTGTGTAACCTTTTTCTCTCTCTCTCCTCATCTTGTTTCTGTCCGTCTGCCCAGAACCTGCGTTCTTGAGGGTACAGCTTTGCTTAGACCACAGGCCTGTAGGCAGGGCCGCTCTGGATCCTAATTTCTGTACAGCACCCACTGCCTTTAGGCACTGCCTAAATGATACACAGAAAATAGCTCCATTGACTCCCTGGAGCCTGACCAAAGAGTTTAGCCATTCACCAGATTTAGAAGAGATGGAAATAATTTATATATTACCATGAGGGCATTTCTGAGATGCCAAAAGAATTTAGCGAACAGCATTATCCCTTACAGTTCAGCCGAAAAATCCTGTTTTCTGTTTCATGTCTTGCTTGTGCTAATACACAAGCACAGGGGAAACGGCCTCAAAGCACAGTTGACTTTTTAGACCTGAGGGGTGCAAGGCAATTTAATCAACCCAGAGCCTGCCTGAAATGCTGAATGAGGCTCCCATCGGACCTTCCTGGCGCTGGCAGAATCAGCAGTGCAGGAGACCTGGAAGATGCAGGTCGCTCACTTCTCAGCTGTGGAAATACCACCCGCTCCGGGTGCTCTCTTCCTAGGGGGGCACTCAGCAGACCTGCGTGTTACGCAGACTCGGAGGGTCGGAGGATCTTTCTCTTTCTGAACCCAACCTGGTCACCCCTTTAACAGAACAGTTTCATCTAGTTCCCTGCCATGCGAAAACAGCTTCGGTTCCATTTTTCTTAAGTGTTTCTAAAGCAAATATTGGAAAAAAACAAAGCAAGCTTGTGATGTTTTGAGCTGCACTCCAAGTTCAGCTCAGGCGTTTTAAGAGCAGAACTGGTTTTCCACACAAAGGGTTCTCACTGCGCTTCTGCGGGAGAGGAAAGGTAGTTATTAAGAAACAAAACCTGGGTTCCTTCCTGTTTTAATTTCTGTGGGCCTGAATAGGAGTAGCGATATTCTGATGAATTACAGTATTTGTACCCTGCTTTTTTGCTCAAGAAAGCATACAAAACTACATATAAACACACAGGAATCTTCTCCAATCCAGTGCTCTCCAGAGAAGTCAGATGATGGCTTCCTGTCAGCTCCGGGCAACTAATAGCCAAACAGAAGAGCAGAAACAAAGCACCAGATTTAAAACCAGGTCTGCTTAAACTAGGCTTGTGGAGCCTCCGGCCACACCTGGTCTGTCCAGAATTCCACGGAAGGATCCTCTCCCCTCTCCCTCCATCCTCCAGTCCTTTAGCGTTTCCTGTCCTTTGCACCTGTTTCCCCCACAATCAACAATGCCAAGATGCCGCTTCCAAGGCTTGGTTTCTGGCAGCAAGAGCGTTGAGCTGAAACAGGCTGGCATTTAGACCCCACCTGCTCAGCCACACGGCCGGCTCCTTTCAATTAGCTGGAACCGGACGCGTCCTTCCGGCACCCACGCCGCTCGCTCCCCCTCTGGCTTTGCCAGCCAGCAAATGCAGTCCAGTTCGGGGCCTGGACAGCCATGGAGGAAGGCCCAGCCTAGGCGGGAATGGACGTGGAACCGCTGGCGAGGAAGGGGCGAAAGAGAAAAGCGAGAGCCACACAGAAACTGACACGAGGCGAGCAGCCGAGACCGAACATCTAGAAGCTTTATTTGAACCCTTTACAATAGGTAGGAGGAATCACAACATCAAATCCGGAAATGCTGCTAATGGAGACAGTCATACAAGTCCAAGAGCAGGAGGGGAAGGCGAAGGCGAACAAGAACCAGCCCGGCGGCTGTGACACCCACGCACCAAGCGGCCACCTCCCGTGGCCCAGCTCCCACTGTCCATGCATCTCTTGCCCACCCCCCCGCCCCAGGAGAAAGAGGAACCGCCCCCACGAGGCTAACACAGAAACACTTGCAAAATTGGACACGCCTGCACCGACACCGTCCCGAGCGGCGTGGCGTGGCGTGGCTCGCGCCCCCTCCGGCTCCGCAGCCACGTGCGGCTCCCACGAGGAGGGAGGGGAGACGCCCACGGAGATCCAAAGCCGCCACCGCCGGTTCCACACACAGGAGCGCTTTTAAGTGCCACGGTGGCAGGTAAGGCCTCGCTGCCTTCTTGGGAAGGGAAAACCAGTCCCCTGTTGAGCGGGGGGGAGGGGGGAGATGGGAAAATCAACTGCTCCGACCCCACAGATGTTTCAGGCCCACACGCTCTGTGGGCCGCCCGCATCGCTGTACCCCAACTTCCCCACAGGTGCCCTCCGACTGTGCCGGACCACACACGCCGTTCCCCGCCAGCAAGACCCGGCCATTCGCTCGCTCGCAGACCGCCCTTGTCCCTCTGAACGCTGCAAGTGACGCGGGAAGGGGCCAGCTGAGGACCTTTTCTGCTCCAAAAATGCACCGTGGCCCAGGAGTTCTTGCCCCAGAACCTACTGCGGCCAAGACCGGACCGGATGCAGCCCAATGCCAGGATGCCAGCACACCAAGGGGTGGCCTGGCCTGGCCCGTTTCCTCAGCCCAGCTCTAAAACAAAAAGGCGTGTGGTTTTCCTAGCTGCTTTGGTTGTGAATGGAAGGGAAGGGAAGGGAAGGTCTCGATCACAGCCAGATTTACCATGTCTGGGAACTGTAAGCATTATTCAGTCCAGACTAATCCAACCTGTCTTCTGCATGCCATTCTGTGCTCCTAAAATTCATAGTTAAGCCATGAAAAACTGCACTCGGGCCGAAGACAGGTTATCGTTACGTCACATCACAGAGGTCCCATTTAAAGAGCGCCAGTTTTGCAGTTTTCTGTCTCCTGGGATGAGCTTTGGGGGGAAAAAAAAGTTTCGCAGGTTTTTGAGTGGTTCTGCTTGAAGGAAAATACCCAAGCTGCATGGAGCATTGCTAACTTTTGGGGGGATGTGAGGAGGAAGGATGAAAAATGCGGTACACACTTTCCTTCTACCAACGAAAACAGAAGCCGGCTCCATGGACAAGGTGGCGGCAGAGCCGGTCTCTCCCAAGCTGCAGAGCTGAGCCCACCTGCTCTCCCCTCGCTTGTCTGCCAGGATCATCCTGTGGAAGGCGGGGGGGGGGGGGGCGGACAGCCAAGGTCCAGGCCACGGTCTCCTCCATTTGGCAGCCATTCACCCAGGAAACCGCCGGTCGACTAGCCCCATCTACCCCACCAGGAATGCGGGGAGCGGTAGCCCCACACCCCTGCAAGGTGCTGGTGGGGGAAGGCTGACCCAGGGTGATTTCTGGGCCTCACCTCTGCCCACTCAGGCCGAAGGTGTAACCTGGAACGGAAGCAGCACACCTTGCAGGGGAAGGTGGGCAGTGATGGAGAAGCCATGCTCCAGACCTGCCCACCTGTTGGGACCTGCTTTTCTCCCCAAGGCGCCCCCGGCTCTCTGGAGTCACTGCTACCCTGGGTACAGAGATGGGCTCGTCCCTCCTCCGCCACCCCGGCTTGGCAACCTGGTTTCTCAGCCCGTGTGGCCAACACCAAGGGGCCTCCCGAAATCCTGGACCATCAGCATCGGAAAGAAGCCGAGCACTGGCAGAGTCCCGCACCCCTACCGAGCTGCAAGCAGCCCGCCGACCCACTCCGGAGCGAGCCACGAGGTATCTCGGCCCCAAATGCCCCAGGCCAAGCTGCAGCGCCCAGAGCTTCGGCCCCAGGAGTCAATGCTGCGACCCTGCAGGTCATTCCGCCTGGACCACAAAAGGCAGTCCTGCTGTGACACAAACCGCAGCACATTTGCGACTTCGCTCGCGCAGGGGAGGAAACGGACTGGTCTAGCCAGAGAGAGCACAAGACACTGAGGTACCTCTGAGCTGCCTACACACAGATAAACGTGGGTACAACGCACTTCCCGATCGATCGTGCCCGGGTTCAGATCCAATCCATCCCTTCTTTTGCTATCCCAGGTGAACACGTTCAGCGTCAGTTGCAGGAAGTCCCGAACACCCATAACAAAGCCAAGATCTCAATGTACTTTTCAAACCTGGGCTTGGCAGATATTTTGGTCTTTTACAAGAAAAAGTCTACTGCACGTAACAACACATGCCAGCTGTTCTTCCTATGAAGTTTTTGCTAGAATACCCGCTTCTCCCCTCCCCACAACTGCTTCCATCCCTTTCAAGATGGGAGGAGACGACCAGCCCTGGACTCTGAACCTTCTTCCACAAGTGCAGCATTTACAAGCGACTTTCAAATCTTCCACGTTCTTGTTCAAAGTTAAAGCTTCCCTCTTTGCTAAAGCGATCCTCTATTAATCTAAGGCTAAAAACACAGGCACGACACTTACTAGTGAGCGTGTGGCACAGAAAGGTGCACACCCCAAGGCTTGTCTAGCCAGAACTGGGTGCAAAAGAGGGGACACCTGTGCATTTTCGCGGATTGGGGGCTGCACCCAAATCATGTGCGTTGGGGGAGGACAAAGAAACACCCTTACAAGAGGAGGTTTTTGCCGTCACAGGAGATAAAGTGCAACGTAATCTGACTTCCCGAGGGGTCCCCAGTAGGAGACGACGAAAGGAGCCCGCCGGTTGGCACAGCCCGCGGCAGCGAGACCCGAACCGAGTGCCTCGGCAGAGCAGCCAACCTGGGGAAGGGGGGGACCGCGGAGAGTGCCCGGCTGCAGGCCGCCCCCCGCTCTCGGCGCCTCGGACTCGCTCGCGCACCAAGGCCGTCTTCCGCAAAGAAGGGGGAGGCGTTGGCCTCCCCCCGCACGTGACCCACGGGAGCGAGGGAGGGCCGGGCACGAGGCGGCGTGCCCAGGTGCCCAGCAGCAGCCTTGCGTCGTTGCTTCGGGCCAGGCCCCCACCCTCAACGGGCACGGCTGCACCAGCCTTCCCCCCCACCTTCCCGTCATCTGAGCCCAGACTCTGCGTGCTCCGTCAGCAGGCTGGGCGACCTCGGCCGGGGCGTCAGAGTCCGGCGTGAGTGCCGAGAGCATCTGCCACCGCGCCCCGGGAGATGGCGGAGCAGGGACCAGACACAAGGATGGGGGCTTGTGGGGGTTCAGGGACAGGCAATGTGTCCCCCGTGGGCCTGGAGGCACCACAGCAGCCGGGCCTTTCCAAAGGAGGCCTACGGTGTTGTTCCCGACAGGTCCCGCTCTGGTCCAGGATGCCGGACAGATGTGGGGTCCCCACTGCAAAATCCAGGGGAGCAGCAGCCACCACCCGGCAAGGAGTTCTCCCGCGTGAGGCTCACGGACACGAAGAGGAGGGCGTTTCGCTGAGGCTTGGGCAGGAGAATTCCAGCTGGCCCCCAAGCACAGCTCAGGCCTGTCCTCAATTCACCGCCTGGGATGCCGGCCCCAAATCTGGGGTATCGCCTCCCGGGTGAGCTGCTCCAGGGCGCAGCTCTTTTGCGGATCGCAAGGGTTGATCCCCATGGCCTCCTGCATGACCGGAGGTGAACGGACAGAAGAGGGGGCAGGCGGGGCGACTGGGGTGCTCTGGGGCAGCGCAGGGTGAAGCGCAGGCTCCCGAGACCTGAAGGTGAGCAAAGAAGGGGCACGGGGTGCGCTCAGTTGCTGCAAAAACAGTGGCTACCCGGCTGGTTGGCAATGGCGGTGCCAGCGCGGAGGCCTGCTCAAAAAAGGCATGGAAGGGGGCAGGGCTCGTGGCGAGGACAGAAGCATCCTTTTCCTAGGTACAAAACCCGCACGCTGAAGGCCCAGTAGGAAAAGAAGGATGCCATCGTAAGGTTCAGTGGACCACATGGATGAAAAAAAACCTGTTACAGTTTAAAAAGCCATTTTATTAGAAATCATGCAACCTTTAATATATATAAAAAACAACCACAAGTGCAATTTGTTTGTGTGAATGCAGACCGGGGGTTTATTGTGTCACGGAGAAGCATTCTGGCTACAGGGAGATGGTGGGGGAGCTGCGTGTCCTCGACTGCTTTCCACGCCCCGCCTCTCTGGCGCCCCCCCCCACCGCCCCCCGCCATCCGCCGTCCCAGCCCCAAGCAGGGATCTGCCTGCAGGGCGACCCCCAACACCTGTGTTTGGCTTTTCAGACTTCAGTGAGAATTCTTCACAACGTTTAAACTTTTATTTACATTTCAGTTTAGTGTCATTTCTAACAGGAAACAGAGACCTCGATCCTCACAGCCCCCTCCCTCAAGAACACAGCCAGGGGCTTCTCCGGCAGGGACGGGGGCACGTGCCCTCCAGCGCCCTCCTCGGCACCTGATACGCATCCAGTCAGCCCCGCCAAGAGCCCTGCCTCGTCAGACCCTCGCACACTTTCCAAAGTCCCTCTCCGGGAGACGGCAGCTTCGCCTCCAGCCCACCGGCCAGCTTCTCCGCCCCGGCGGGCTCCCCTCTAAACACCACATCCCGTCCCAAGCCTCTCGTGCGACCGACACGTCCTGGGGGGAACCCGGAGCCGGTGGATTCCGGCGATCCCCACCCTGCGCCCCGATGCTACGGCAGTGAAGGAGGAGACCCCGGGCAGAGCGGGTGAGGAACCCGCCTCCGCAGGGCCGCCGAGGGGTGCGCGCGTGCGTGCGTGCGTGCGAGAGGCAGACCTTGCCTAGGCTAGCGCGTCCCCGGCGGCAGTGGGTCGGGGAGGCCCGTCGGCTCTGCAGGCCGCAGCGACGGGCACGCCTGCCCGCTCGCCCGCCCTTTCGTCCCGCAAAGCAGCCTCATACACTTTCAGGTCAACATGGCTTACTGTAATTTAGCTCCATCATTTCAAAAAATATTTTAAACACACACAAAAGAACCACCACACAAAAGTAAAAATGAAAAGAAACACAAGTTAAAATGGCTGGATATGTTGATACGAAGCCGGCAGCGCTGCAGTAGCGATTAATGCGTTTAATTCTCCTATGGCAAGGGGGGGCAGAGATGGGGGGCGGGGAGGAGGAGGGGGGCCGGCGATCTAGCAACAGTCATCAGCAACACGCTTATCACCATGGGGGAAGAGACGAGGGGGGGGCAGGAGGAAGCGAGTGAGCGGATACAGACCAGCGTTAAATAGGAGGCGAGGCGGCTGGAGGCGGGGTGGGCAGGGTGGCCCGCAACGCCCTCTCCCGTGGACGCCCGCCCGGCCCCGATCCCGGCCCCGGCCCCGGGCAAGCAGGCCAAGCCGGCCACTCCAGGAACAGCCCCCCTCGTGGGGGAGGCGGAAGCGCTCCAGCTCGCCCCGCGGCCGCCCCGAGCCCAGGCCCCGGCAAGGGCCCCCTGCGCCCGACGAGCTCCCCCCCGCAGAGCCCGGGAGCCCTGGCGCAGGCCGACGCGAGCGGCCCCCGTGCCCCCGAGGGCTCAGCCCGCCCTTCCTGGGCCCAGGGAGACGAGCGCGGCGAGTGGGGTGGCGGGGGCGAGCGGGGGGCGGGGGGCAGAGTCACAAGCCTTGCGGAGAAGGAGCGGCAGAGACCTCTTCCGCGGGGGGAGCCTGCGGGGGGGGGCGGCGGCAGTGGGGGGGCGGCGGCGGCAGAGCTCGGGCTCTCGCTGACGGCGGTGCTATGCCGGGGGGGGGGGCCGCCAGAAGAGACGGGGGGGTGGTTGCAGACTACGGTGTCCACTCCGTGATCCGTGCGGGCCTTCGCCTTCTCACGGAACGTCAGCTTGTGGGACTCAATCTGCAGCGACACACACGGGGGGGGGGGGGTGGGGGGGGAGAAAAGGGGCACAAGGCGACACCAGAATGTCATCGTTAGAGGCCTGGAAAATAAAAGGCGAGTGGCTCCATTAACACACGTGGCAGAGTCCGAGAACACGCGAGAGAGCAGCCGCGGCGCCCCCGCCCGAGGCAGGCGCGTGCCGTGCAGGAGGGGGTCCCGGGTGGGGGTCTCGGGCGGCTCGCCCCCCGGCCCGGGGGGGGACCCGGGCTCCTCACGTGCCCTTCCAGGGCCGCTCTGGGGAGCCCCTTCCGCCCGAGGGCCGAATGCGCGCCCGCCGCGGCTCTCCGGGAGGGCCGGGAGGGGCTCGGCCGCCGACCGCTCGCCTCCCGCCCTGGGCCGGGCCCTTGGCGCAGGCGGCCCCTCGGGCATGGGGGGCTCCCCATGCAAGCAGCCCCCGGCACCCCCGGCCCCGCACTTACTTGTTTCCGGTATGTGAGTGTCGAAGGACTGGGTTTCCCTTTGGTCCCCACCGCCCAGAGCGGGCGCAGCTGGCCCTACGCCGTTCTCCTGCGGGGCGCCGCTGCCAGGCGGGGGCGGGGGCGCGGTCGCAGCGCCGTTCTGGGGGGCTGCCTCCTCACCCCCCTCAGTCTACAAGGAAACAATGGGGTGGGGAGGACAATGAGGAGTCAATACGAGGATGGGGTGGGATGGGGTGGCGTGGGATGAAGACGCGCCGGCCAGGAGATGGGGATGCCCCACGGGGTGGGCCCGTCTTGCCCGCACGAGGCCCCCCACACAGACCGGGGGGCAGTGGGAAGCCCCCCGGGGAGCCCACAGAACAGCCTTAGGAACAGTGAGAAGGGGCCTCCCGGGGCTTCTGGTCCGACGAGGCTTTGCCCACCTGGGGCCCTCCAGTTCTGCTGGGCAACAATTCCCAGAAACCCCCCGGGCATCGGTCCAGGGAAGGCCGGGGCAGTGCCTTTCCTGGGACAACCCCGCCTCGACAGCTCTGCACGTGCTCGAAATCCTTGGGCTGCTCTTGCCTGGCGCACCGCAGCCCCCCCTCCTTGCTGGCTTTCTCTCCCGCCGCCACATCCTCTCCCCAGCCAGGGCAGAACGGCCCGGCTCTCCGTTGCACCCTCTGCGCCTCCTCTCTCCACCCAGCCCTGCTCCTCTCCCTCGGCCAGCCATTCTCTCGCGCCGGGGGCAGCAGCGGAGACAACGCGGCCGTCTGTGCCCGAGGTAGAAGCCACGCGCGCCGGCGTACAGTTTTCGCTCGCAAATAAGGCAGCGTGAAAGAGTATAGCCAGGAGCAGGCACGGGAGCTACGAGCCCCCTCTCGGCTGGAGCTTGAGGCCGCTTTGGAGAGTAAGCCAGACGAAGCTCACGCAACTCGGCTGCACTGCAGGAGGGGACTGCCGGCTGGCGCGAGGGGCCCCGGGAAGGCCTGTGCGTGGCGGAAGGAAGGAAGGAAGGAAGGAAGGAAGGAAGGAAGGAAGGAAGGAGCCTGATGCTCCCAGAAGGCCCCGGCTTTTTTCTGCCTACACCGGCCCAGGGCTGCAAGCTAACACTCCTCTTTGAGGTACAGAAACACGGTGCTGAGGGAGAATCTGGGTGACTTTGGAATAAAGGCAGGTGCTGGCTGTGATGCCAGGAGATTGGAGCTCCCAGATTCTGGGCAAGGGGCCTTGGAAGATGGCCATTTCCGCCTGCAGGGACAGGCCTGGAGGCGGGCAACTTGCAAGGTACGGAAGAGACCCCAGGTTTTGCCCTCATTCAAGGTTTCGAGGGTCTTTTCGAACCCTGTACAGAGGGTCTTGGAAGACGGTAACAAATTCTTTACTACTTCTGTTGCGACCGCTCCTATGAACGGGGTGCATGCATGATACTTTTTTCCAAGAAAAAAGTATTCCATTTCTAGTTTCAACGGTTGTCCCTGTTTGCAGAAGTCGGTGTCAAGGCAGCAACTTCTCCTAGCCCACGCCAAATTTTAGTAGGCAGGGGATGGGAATCTGCCTTAAAAGCAGCAGGAAGTCCGAATTCCCACTGGCATCCCCACCTCTGCACCTTCTGCCGACAACACAAACGACCCAGACAGTCACAGGGGGGACACGGTGGTTGAGGCATGTCATGGAGCGGCACACGTGACCCAGGGGGGTGTTACAGAGCCCCCGGCAACTGAGGCAAGGGAGGAACCAGTGATGTCTGAGCCTGCTTAAATCCTTGCAGCCAAGCTCCTCTCGGCCAGCTCTTTTCGTTTTCGACCTGCGTGCCACATCTTCAAATGGGGCAAAGTATGTCCCCCATTAACTGAAGCCTAAAATGTGCACTTTTTAAAAAAAATACACCTTTTTAAAAAATATGCAATTTTCCAGCACAACTAAAGAACTGGAAATTTATAAACGTTTCTGGGAAAAACTGTGTTTTGGGATTGCAAACTGGCTGCTCCTGCCGCCTGCCTCTGTGGCCAGAAAGAAAATCGCGGCACGTCCCCTCCACCGTGCTGCAAAGGATGCCAGGATGCGACCCTCCGGGGCTGGGCAGGGGGAGCCGCCATGCGCCCACAGCCTCCCGCTGCTCTGGGGACCCCTGCCAGGCTCCCTTCCTGCCCCCTGGCCCAGCACCCACCTTCTTCAGCCTCAGCTCCAGCTGTCTCCCTCCCTGCCACCCCGCAGGGCTCCTGGCAATCCCCCTGCTGCTCCAGGGAAAAGCCCAGGCAGCCACGAGCCTGAGGCCGGCGGCGGGAGGCCTGGAAAGGACTCGTAGCCAAACTCCGCTGGGGGTTCTGCTGCTCATGGATGCGGCTTGAGCTGCCCAGTGCGAAGCTCTGGGGGGAGGACCGGCCTCGCCGTGGGTGCCCACAGCTCCCTTCTCCCCCGCCAGGTGCTGGTGGGCAGTGGCTTCCTGCCCCGAGGCCCTTGGCAGCGGCTGTGCCCCCTCGGGGTGCCGCCAGAGCTGCTGCTTCCGTCTGTGCTGCTTCCGCGGACCCGGGAGCCTCGGGGGGATCTGCGGGGAGGGGGCTGGGCACTGGAGGGGGCTTCCCCACCACTCTGGCGGCCCACGCGATATGGGGCCGACTGTCTGGCATCCCAGGGTGACTGATCTTTCGGAGGCCCTTCCAGGGGACAAGCTGCTCTCACTCACACCCTCTTTCGCGTGGCACCATGAACGTGGCGGTGGCAATGGGCAGACAGACATGAGGGGGGGTGGGGGCGGGGGGGCAGGGCCCGGCCGTACCTTCACGGTGCCGCCCGCTGGCGTGTGCCCAACGTTGTCCAGGGAGCCCACCTTGGCCTGCGCTTTCTCCTTGAAGTTCAGCTTCTGGTTTTCGATCTTGACGTCTCCGCCCCCTTGCCAAGCAACGGAAGAGCAGAACGATGAGGGCTTCCCACCCCCACGGCACGCGCCCCTTCCCTTCACGGGGAGGGGAGAGGGCCGTGCGTGGAATCGACGGAAGGCGCGCGGCGCGGTGGGGAAAGGGCAGTCTGCCCGGGCTTCCCTTCCGACGCGAGGCCGTTCGAACAGGGCAGGGGGCCCCTGCAGGAGACCCGCTGCTGCTCTGGCCCGAGAGCATCTCCACAGCAGCCCCCCTCAGAGGGGAGCTGGCCGGCCGCTTCCCCCCACCCGTCCAAGCACGCCGGCGGTCGCCACCCCTCGCCCTCACCTGGCTTGTGCTTGATGTTCGCTTTGGAGCCACACTTGGAAGCCACTCTGGAGAGGTCGATTTTCTTGTTCAGGATCTGCACCTGCAGAACAGGAGGGGGGGGGGAGCGGGCGGCTCAGGAGCAAGAAGCACGGATGCGGCTCCAGAACGCCGAGGCGGCGTGGCCTCCGCCCTGCCCAAGCTCCCCGCTGGCCCGGGGCCTGGCCGGGGCGAGGCAGGAGCTGCTGCTGCGATGCGGCTCCGGAGACTCGTGAGAAAGAGGCGCCAGGAGAACGGGGCCCCCAGCCCCACCCAGGGCAGCACAAACAGCCAGGCCCCTGCGCCGACCGGAGGTGAGAGCGCAGCCAAAGAGGAGCGACGTGTCCAGCAGTAGCGTTAGGCGTTTTGCCGTGCACGGGCCAGCACCGGCGAACTAGGATCCACGTGAAACACCGGAATCGGCGCGAGAACGAGGGAGCCCCCTGGCGCACTGAAGCCACGGGGGCGATGCCCCCGGACGCCGGTGAGACTGGGGCCCGCTGGCAGGCCGAGAGCCTGGCCCAAGGCGGGCTGCAAAGGGTGGGCATGTTACGGACCCCAAACCTCTGCCCAGCTCTCCCGAATTCTGGTGCCGACGTCCAGGATGCATGTGCTGCGAACAGATTCCGCCAACTCAACCAACTCTGCGTAATTTATTCCAACAGCCAAGGAACTGGGGGCGGGGAAGCTGACACTCGGGTGGGCAGAAGAATGAGCACATCTAGGACTTCCTTTAGGATGAGGGGCAATGGGGGGGGTTCCGCCGGGGGGGGGGACTTGGCCTGCCCCTTCCAGGATCGACCTCGGCAGGCGCTCCGCCCACGTCGTCCTGCAGCCAGAGGCCACGCAGCGAGGTGCTCAGGCCACGCACCTGTGGCCGAACCAGGATACAAGACTGCTGGGGGGGGGGTGAAAAGGGGGCTTCTGATTCCGTAGGACAAGCCTTGTCCAGCTGCCCCCCTCTGGACGTGCCGAACCGTGGCAGGGAAGAGGCCGCGCAAGGGATCCGGCAGGCAGGACACGGCTCAGTGCTGGGAGCTGCTGGGCGCCGGGCACCCGGGGCATCTTTCCGCCATGTGCCTGGCGGGTGCAGGGCCCATGCGGCTGCCCAGGAGCACTGCTGCTCCTGAGCGGTGCCCTGGGGGCAGCAGAGGGGCCGTCCCACCGCCGGACAGGGAGGCCTCCCGCCTCTTCTCCTGGCCGGGCCGGCCTCGGCTGCCCTTCTCCACGAGCCCCACGGCTCGACGTGCGTGGTCTTGGGGCGGGGCTGTGCCAGCCACCACGCTCCTCCCGGGTGGCAGGTGGGGCTCTGGGGGGGGCGGGAAAGCCTGACAGCCATCCCCGCCGGGACACGCATCCCGCCCAGGCCGACAGCCGGGGAGAGGCTGCTGAAGGCCGCTGGCTCCCCGCAGGGCCAGCGATGCGCCGGGGCGCGTGGCCACAAATCCGGCCACGGCAGGCGACGCGGAACTGACGGAAGACGAACAAGCCCACCTTGTGCAAGGCCGACCGGGCCGCGGTGGAGGGTCTACTCACATTGGTACTGCCCTGGCTGGGCTTGGGGACCGTGGACGGCTGGGAGCAGCTGCCCGGAGCTGGCTTTGGGGCATTTGGAACCTGAAAATGACAAGCGCTTTACTCTCCGGACCGCATGGCCTGGTGTCGTTTTGCTCTGCAGAGCAAGGAGAGCGAGAGGAAGCAGGTGACAGCGCGGGAAGGCAGCGGGGAGAGGAGGAGGAAGAGGGCCAAGTGGGCGCCACCCCTCTCCGACACCACAGGAGGGCCACGAAAGGTGCGAGAAGGCAACATGGGACAGAAAAGGGGGCAGCTGCAGCGCATCAGGCGAGAGGCGCCCAGAATTCACTCCTGCAGGTGGCTTTCTTTTGCAGCTATCTTTGTGGAGAGGCGGAAAGAAGAGAGCTTACAGACGGAAGAGCAGCAGCAGCAGCAGCAGCAGATCCGGAGAATCAATGTGGACAGAAGGATCTACGAGGAACATTTTACAGACGGGGCCCCTCCCCGCCAAGACGCAGCCAATGCAGGTGCTCCAGGGATCCCGTGGATCCCACTCAGAGAAGCGTCCGACCCTCTTCAAGGCTCTGCGGAAGATCCCAACTCCCAGTCCCCAGAGCCACCCCAAGACCCGGTCCCCGACTCGCATCTGATACGCTCGGCAGCACTGCCGGAGCTGAGAGGCGCCCGTGCCCGCGGAAAGGGCTCGAGGGGTAAGGCCGCCGAAGAACGCGATTCTCCAAGGCACCGGCAAGCGCAAAACGAGTTCCAAGGCAGCCTTGGCAGGGAGACACGAAGGCTGAGACCGCCTGCAGCTGAAGCATCCTCCCCCAACGTGGTGCCCCTCAGATGCGCCGGACTGCTGCACCCATCTGCCCCAGCCAGTGAGGAGGGAGGCTGCCGCGGAGTCACCACTCTAACGAGCGGCTTGACCTCCGCCACTTCGCCTCTGCTCCATGTCTGCCATCCTGGCCTGCCATACAAAACACCCCACAGCATGAGGCAACTCCCAGCGGGGAAGGGGCCACGAGGGCTCATCTGCCTGCGCCAGCATGGCCCGCTCTTTGAAAACGGCCATGACCCTGCCTGGCTAGAGCGGCGGCAGCGCTTGGCACTCCTTCCTCAGCCCGTACGGGGCACTTCCAAAAAGTCTGCAAGGAGGGGAACGCTCACAAACGGCAATGAACGGCTGGCTGCAGGTTTGGGCCCCCCACCCCACCCCACCCCACCCCACGTGAGCCAGAACTGCCACGCCAGGCCTGCTTGGCTGCGGCGCCTCCGCCTTGCGTCAGACTCGGGCCTGCCGCCCGCTGGTCGCCAGCAGAGTCCCCCCTCGCCCGGCAATCTCCGCTTCCGTTCCCCCGAGTCTACCTCTCGTTCACGTGAAGGCAGGCCTGGGCACGTGGGCCACACCTGGCCGCTGGCTAAGGCCCTCCCAGTCGGGGCATGTCAAGCAGAAGCAGAACCGTGCAAGAGAGCGAGCGACCCGGGCAGGCTAAGCGACGCACGCTGCGCGGACGCATCCCGAAAATCAAGCCATGCAAAACCTGCCAGGGCGAGCGAGGGCGGCCCGAGGCGGAACGCTGGAGTCGGGACCGGGGCTCTGGTTCCAGTCCCCCTTGGCCGTGGAGCCCACCCTCTGTGGCTCTGGGGCCAGGCACAGCCTCTGCCTAGCCTACCTCCCAAGGTGGCTGCTGCGAGGACAAAACCCTCGGGAGGTGCCTGGGCTCCTCGCGAGGGGAGGAAATGCGACTGAATGGTAAAATAAACCATCAGAACGACTTCTGCAAGCGGCAGAACATAGATACTCCTGGGTGTAAAATGTGATGTGGTTTTCCGCCAGGGCAGTGTTCCTCCAGATGTTTCGGGCAAACGGTTAGCCACATTGGCTAGGGCAGATGGAGGTCGCGGCACGAAACCTCTGGAGGGAACCAGCTTGTCCAGCCCGGCGTCCTCGTCCTGGGCCGATACATGGAGCGTATGACTGGGTCTCCCACCACGGAAGCGCACGCTGCCCGCCTTCGCCCCTTCAGGTGGACAGAGTTCGTAAGGCCCACTGCGTCTCCATTCAAGGGATGTCCAGGGGAGGCCGGCGCTGCCTCCTCATCTCCTGGATGCGCTTGTCCTCTGCGTGGAGCACTTTCTTCCTTATGGAGGAACATCTGGACCTGCGAGCCCCTCTGAGGCCTAAGTGGCGCATCCGAGACCCGGCTCAAGTCCTCCTCTCCCAGGGAGAACAAGGCTTGCGTGCCGACCGGCGTCAAGCCCGGGATGGACTTCTGCGTGCAGAGATGGGCCTTCGTACATCTAACTCAGCCCAGCGCATGGTCGAGAGGGCTGGATTAGCAGTACTGCAGGCCAAAAAGGGGCACTCGGTTTAGATTCTGAGCCTGGCAGATCGAGGCCGGTCAAGATATCACAGCCCGAAAGTGATCAAAGTAGCTCCCGAGAGACTACAAACCCCTAACAACCACGCCTGTCCAGAAGTTTCCGTGAAAGCTCTGATTTCGGGCCCTGCTTCTTTGGGGGGAACGGCCACAAACAGAAACATTCACACAGTCCAACACACACACCAGTCACAACCAGAACAAAAAGGGGTTAGTAGAAAGACAGCTGGCTGGAGGTCCCCATACTTACATTCCCACCTCCAGGGACATGCTTAATATTGTCCTTGGAACCGCATTTGGACTGGACGTGGCTGTAGTTGGCTTTTTTGGAGACTATCTGGACCTGGAGCGTCACAGAGATGGAGAGAACAACACAAGGGAAGAGGGTCGGTTAGAATTCTCGCAAGGGACGACGGGCGGACAGACGGACGGACGGACGGACGGACGGACGGACAACAGACAGACAGACAGACAGACAGACAGACAGACAGACAAGAGCTCGTGTTAGACTTTCAACCTGGTTAAGTGCGAACTCACTGGACAGGGAAGGGACAGAGAAAGGCGGACAGAGCGCGCAAATGAGCAAACCAGACAGCTAAGCAAGCAGCAGGTGGCGGCAAGAGCACAGGCGGCCCGCCCCCCCACCCACCCCGTACCCTACGGCCTGGCACACAGCGCACGAGGAAGAGTGCGCTCTGAGGAAGGCCGTCCCCATAAACGGCCCCCGGGGCGGTGTGGGAAGTTGCTCTGACGGGCCGACCGTGTGCGCAGGTGGGAGGCAGAGAGCCGACTCTCCGCCGGCATGGGGTGGCCAGGCGGGGCCCGCACGCCCGATTTCTCATTAAGCTCACGAGTCTTTTTGCAAAGGCCAGGTGCCTCCGCGAGACGCCTTGAAAGAGTTGGGGTGCTGCCTTCTGAGCAATCTGTCCTGACAGGGTCACTGTGCTGGAAGAGCTGCAGAGACCTACTTCGGCTGGCTGGGTGCAGCACCCTCCGATCTCCCAAAAATCAGAGCGGCGAGCAGAGACCCGCGTGGCCCAGGACTGCCCCCCCCCCCGCCCCCAGGCTGTATTATGTGGCTCAGGGGAGCGGGAACCTCCTCGGCTGGGACTGACCCCCGCACAAGGCACCACACGGCAGCGGTCCGGGGGGGGGGGCTTCCCTGGCCGGCTCCTCCACCAACCCCTCAGCCCAACTGGGGAAGCGACCCTGCACCCCTGGACTGGAGACCGCTTTTCCATCCTGGGGGGTGTTCTTTGCCATCTGTGCTTGATGCACTTCCAGGGGAGAATGAGACGGCTGGTTATAACCCCTAGGCAACGCTTCCGCACCTTTGGTTACCTTCCTTTCTATCCCACCAGCAGCCAAAGCTGCCTGTGTGCAAACGTGAGAGAGACGCTCAGCTGTGCGGAGTGAACACCGGCCTGGCCGGCTGCAGAGGTCTTCTTTGCGGGCCTTTTCCCTATTTATTATTTATTTAGAACATTTGTATGCCGCCCCCGGCTGTAGTTTTCCTTCACGATCTGCCTACACCTGACAGAGGAATTTGGCATCTCATCCCTGGATGCGGAGGCCATAAGCGACTCGTTGATCTTTCCGGTGCCACGAGACTTCTTGCTCTCTCGCCGGGAAAAGTGGCTGGCATTCAAGGCAGGCAGGCAGGCTGGGCCGCGAGAAGGGCGAGCCGCCTCCTTCACCCTGCGTGAGCGGAACCGCAGGCGAAGGCCACTCCAGGGGTTACCTTGTCTCGCAGTGAGCAGCTTGGGGCGGGAAGCAGCGCCCAGGGTGTCGCTTCATCATGGGATGCGACAAAACGCACGTGAACCGGAAGCAGCTCAGGGCTGAGCCCAGGGGGAGAGCGCGCTCTGGGCCTCGTGCAGAAGGCCCGGGGACCATTCCCTGCAGGAAGGGCTCCATCCTGAGCCCCTTCCTGGCCTTCCAACGGGACTGTGGAGGGCGGACCGGAGGCCAGCTGGCAAAATCTGCTCCTTCCTCCGTGCACGGCTGGCAGGTATGGAGAGGATGCCAGGATTCAGCCGGTGCGTGGCACGAGCATGGCCGCCTCGGTGAACTCGCGTGCCCCCAGGCACCATCCAGGCCGAGGCCTCTCCCTGGAAGGCCACAAGTGAGCGGTCCTGATGCCCGTTGGAGGGAGGCGAACTCCATGGCTGCTGCGTCCGTGTTCTGCCGTTTGCGGATAGCCCGGGGAGAAACTTGCAAGAATGACAAAGCACCTTCTCCGACTGGGTGCCCTCCAGCTGGGTGGCATCTACCACTCCCAGGAATACCGGCTGGCTGGGGTATGCTGGGAACTGTAGTCCAACCAGATCTGGAGGGCACTGGGCTGGAGAGGGCGGCATTACAGGGATCGGTTCCCCACGAGAACAGTGGAGTTTTACATTGGCACAAAAACTTCTCCTGGGACATCCACCTTCGACCCCGAGGCCTGCAAAACGGCGCTACAGCTTCTGACACACTTGTCCCGAAGCAGCCGGCCCCTTTCCCTTTGAAGTCCACGTGAAGCCGGGCTACAAAACCTTCTCGCTAGCAGAGGCTGGCCCAAGAAACTCGGCCTCTCCACAGGCCGACCAGCCACCAAAGTTCAACTTAATTGGGGTCATGGCTGCTGCCAGGCAGAGCGGGGCATTGTCTTGTGTTCCGGGCGAGCTGAAACAAGCCCAAGAACCCATTAACGCCTCACAATGGGTTGGATGTCGCAAAGTCCAACCTGAATGGACAAAAGCAAAGACTGTTGTTGACAGAGCGAAACACTCGGTCCCTGGTGCCACCAAGCGAGTGCCAGTCATGTCACTCGCTACGTGTCTGGCCGGTCAGAGCGGCTTGGCCAGCGACGGCGTCCACCCACACCAGTGTGGCTCTGTGTTTTTGGAAAATGCCTAGAAACGGTCGGGCGGAGAGCGCCTGCACAGGGTTATGTGGAAGTGGCCATCCCCACGGACATGGCAGCCGCCGGGATCTGGGGGGGTGTCGCCATGCCTGCATTGGAAGAGAACTCCCCCCAACTCAAAATACCTCCCTTTGCCAGCTGAGGATGTGAGCAGCCCGTTTTCTTTCTCTGTGGGATGGGGGTGCACCCCAGGCACAGCAGGTCCTCCGGCACCACCCTGTCCCCACAGCTTGTCATCTCAGTCCCATGGTGCAAGCCCACGGTGGAGAAGGCACACCGGGGGTCCTCTCCTCGCACACCCCAGTCCCAAGAATAAGCTTCACTGCACGGGGAAAGCAACGCCAATTTTCCAGGGAACAGAGTGAAGGGAGCTGCTCCCGTGGGGCTTCGGGAGGTGGGCGGGCCGTGCAAGCAAGCAAAGAGTCTCCCCGACAGCCCGAAGGACGGCCACTCTGAAAACCAAGAAGCTCTGCGGAACTCCACTGCCGGAGACCCTCAGAGAAAATGTTTCTGGGACTCATTCCCATGCATTTCACTGACAGCAGAACAGAACGCGAGAGAGAGAGAGAGAGAGAGAGAGAGGAGGAAGGATGCAAAGAGGAAAGGACCAGAAATGGTCAGTGGCAAGAAAAGCGTGGAGAGCATTAAGAGAAAGGGGGAGTGACCCAAACCGATGGGTGGAAGGAGAAATTAAAAACAGCAGAGGAGTTGATCCTTGTCTCTCTCAAGTGATAGAAGTCTGAAATGGAACTCACTTTCCCATTGGGCTGCTTTTGGGCACCCTCTTTTGTAAAAGCGGTTTTAGCGGTAGCCGTTTTAGATACTGCACTGAGTTCAGGCTTTCGGGCAGCCCCGGCTGACTCTGCCTTTCTCTCTACCTTTGCCTAAATGGAGACAAATGGAGGGTGACTTTCACATCATGAGTGTTAAAAAAAAAGAAAGAGCGAGCGAGAACAGTGACGGGAAGGACAACTGGACATCAAAGCATTCGCAGGGCTCCAACAAGCCAGAGGGGACGCTTTGGAGAGGGCAGCTCCGGGCAACTGCTCCACCCGACCACTGTCCCGGCTTGGGAGAGCCAGGCTCAAGCCCCACACATGTATGGGCCTCCTTGCGCAGCGCTGCGCCTTGCCACGCCTGGGTCTGACCCACTGGGGGGGCACGACGGACGGGAACGGCGCTGGGATGGGGTTTCGGTGCAGAGAGCAATCTGCAACAGCCCGCCGCAGAGGCTGGTAACTGCCCCCCGCACGCGGATCCTAATTCTCAGGGAATTCCCAAGGGGAAAACCCCTACACCAAGTCCCAGTTCCTAAGCTCAGCAAGTGGGCCACCTCTTCCGTCGTCGGGCAAGCCCAGGTCTCCCGAGCCAGAGCACAGGTGTTTACCCGTCACCAGGTCCCCAACAGTGGTTCCCCAGGACCCCTCCTGGAAACATTACTGGTTTAAACTGGGAATTCGTTTCCAGAGCAGCCCCCCAAAAGCACCCACTGATCTGCTGAGCTTTAGAAGGTGAACACTGATAACTTGTCCCGAGTAAAACTGCTCTAGGGCTGCTACCAGCATCGCCATCCCAGGGTCATAGTCTTGGTTGTGTCTTTTGAGTCAAAGCGTCTTTTGTGTCTTTTTAGCGCAAGCGAAGGCTGGCTTTGGCAAGACTGCGGAAGCCTCCGCTCGGCCTCTCTGCTCGGCCACGACTGAGCCAAAGATGCGGGGAAGCAGGCAGCCCGGCCGGCATAAACAAACAGGTTCAGACCCGGGCGCACACGGCAGGAGACGCGCATCTCCCTTGATCTGCCACACCAAGGGTTCCTACGGGGGGTGTTTTTTCGCTTGAGTAACGTTCCCCGAACACAAGGCCACCTGACCCCACAGTACTATATGCAAACGGAAATCTGATGCGCCATAAATAGACGAAAACTGGGAAGGGAGCAAGACACTGGGAGAACCAAACTAAGCTGCAAAAGGCCACGTCCCGCTGGATGACGTTTCCTCTGAATGCAGCTCGTGCACAGCAAAGGGTTATTTCCACTTCAGACGGGGTGGGACTCTGTGGTCTTGCTATATGGTTGGGTTGTGCTGTGTATCGTTCCCAGACCACGGACCAGGCTGACTGGGGCTGATGGGGGCTGCAATCCAGAAACATCTGGAAGGGCGCAGGGTCTCTATTCCAGAGTCAGGGGCTAAAGTTGTGGCTTCCACTCGGAAAACACTCCTGGACCCTGGACCCAAAAGCCACCTCCAGGTGCTGCCCCTCCTCTGCCCCCCGGCGCTCTTACTGCACTCAGCCCCCTTTGCAGTGAGAACATTTGCTGGAGAGACAGTGGGGGGAAGACAACCATCCACTTGTTCCGGCATGCCCACGTGTACCAAAGCATTAATTCATGCAAATCAGTGACGGGGGGAGAGGCAGCTTTCAGGTAAATTATCCAAAGCAGCAGCTCTATCAAGGATAAGTTTGGGATGCTAGTAAAAGAGCAGACAGGCTGGCTGGATGCATTCTGTGGCGTTCTCTGGGGGAGACTGCATTTCATCAGTGGGGCCTGGCTAGAGGGCCTCCCTGAGGAGGGGGCTCCCACCTGTCAGGCACACACAAGCGTCCCCCGTGCCTCCGCAGCCCGTGAGCCGCCATTTTGCTGGAGTAAAGCGGCACAGGAGGACGGCCCACCTGCATGAGAATGAGCTCGGGGGCCCCCAGGTCGCAGGTGGTCACACCGAGGATCGCGGTGGCATTCCTGTGGGATGCTCGCCCCCTCCTTGGGAACTGGCAGTGCCGTCTCCGCTGGCTTGCAGATGGCTGACTGGGAGCAGCCAGGAGAACGAGTGCAAAATTGGGGGTCAGGCAACAGTTCTTGGGGTTCGTCCCCACCTTTGCCTTGATTCTGGTCTCGACGTACGTCTGGACGGCCCTGATTTACTTGAAGGCCAGCTCTTTGGTGTGGAGGCAGGGTTTAGACAAGCTTCGTTGCTTCTGCCTTGAAGCTTTGTTGCTAAATGTGCTTTTGGCTCAGCTGTGCCTTTTACTCCCTCCTTTCCTTTTATAAATAAACTTATCACCTACCTCGAGCTTGTCTGCTTTCTCCCAGGGAAGCCCTGAAACCCTGAACCTTCTCTTTGGCAATTGCTACCACCCAGGTTTCAGGCTGAGGGCTTGGAAAAGGGAGTGCCGGTTTGGGCTTCCACGTCGTGCGTTCTGGGATCGTTCGGCGAGGCCCAACCGTCCCCAGCTCAGGCCGAGACGAATGCGAGAGGCTGTGGCAGGAGAGCTGGCAGGGCCGTGGCTCAGCCCGAGCCAGCCTCGTCCTTGCCTACGCTGCCAGGAGTCCGGCGGCCCCTTTCCTCTGACGGAGGGGCAGCACAGCGCATCCTGCTCTGCATGCAGCCCGTTCCCGGATCCATCCAAGGCATCCACAGGCAGGCCTGGGAAAGGGCCCTTCCTGGAGCCCCCGAGGCGACAGCGAATCGTGTCGGCGGCCTGGGGCTGCCCATGCGTCCCCGTGGCTCTGGCGGGCCCCTGAACCCCCTGAAACGGCACCGCTCGTGCGGCTGCCGCCTCTGCCCACCCGACTCGGCCTGGGGCGGCAGAGCCGGGGGCCCAGAAGCAGAGGCGGCAACTCTCCCCCAGGCACGGGACCCGCATACGCTGCTGGCACGCTTGAGTGTTCATTCTTGCCGATGAGGTCGAGGCATTGCCACATGCTCCTTTTTTCTGGGATGGGAAGAGCTCAGATCCAGTAAATATGCGGTTTATTTACTGTCATAAATATGTATTTATAAATAAATACATCAGTGTGAATGTAGAAACAAACTTAAGATGGGGGAGAGAGCTGGTGGTAGGTCCGTCAGGCTGGGTGAATGCACAAACAAGCCCTTTCCGCCCCAGCGCCCTCCAGACAGGTTGGGTTGCAACCCCCATCATCCTCAGCTGGCATGGCCATGGGAAATGGCAGGAGACGGGGCTCGTCTCTGCCCAGGGCACGAGGCTCAGTGAGCCAGACCAGGAACAGGGGCTCCGGGTGCAAAGAGGGCCCTTGCAAGCGGGAGGGCCCAAAACCACACCGCAGAGAAGCCGGCGGCGGAGACCCTGGGCCAGGGGGAGGGGTCTGTGGGGCAGGGCTGGTCACCCAAGCGTGCAACGGAGGCAGCCCTGGCTCGACCCCCTCCTGGACGGGCTGGACCCACAGAAGCCACGAGGTGGAGCCAAAGGGGGAGGCCGGGAACACGACGCACGGCCCCGACCCGCCTCTCCCTGGACGGAGCGCTGCAGCAGGCAGGCCGGGGGTGACGGAGGGCCTGGCTGGGAAGTGGCTCTGCGGGACACGCCGGCAGGTCCCTGAGTCCGAGGCGACTGCCTCCCGGCAAGAGCGCTCTGGGAAAAGAAACCTGGAGAGCGAGCCAGCGAGGGCGGAGGGGCTGAGGACGGGAATGGCCGCTGCAACGGCCCGAAGGAAAAGGGCGGCTGCGAGCCCCCAGAGATCTTGGCCGCCAGGGCACCAGGACTCAAGGCAGACGCTGCTCAGCGCTGGGGACTTACCTTTCCTCCACCGGGTTGGTGCTTGATGTTATCTGTGGACCCGATCTTGGAACGGACGTTTTTGAGGTCGGGGGCCGACGCACTGGTTGGGGGCCGCGGGGGCTTGGGGACGGGGCTGGTCTTCGGTGCGGCTTTGAGCGTGGAGGCTTTCTTGGGCTCGGCAGCCGTGCTCGCCGTCCCGGAGGCTCTGGGCCCGGCCGGCTTGGGCTTGGGCCGGCTTGCTGCGGTCCCGGTGGGGGCGGGGGCCGGCGTGGTCGTGGTCGAGGCCGGGGCGCTCTTGGGGCGGGTCAGGTCAGCTGCGGAGGGGGGAGGAGGAGGAGAGGACAGCACCGTCAGTGGGCCTGTGCGGCAGCCGTGTGGAGAGCCCGCGTCTGGGAGAGCCACGGGGCCACGGGACCAGTGCAGCGGGCATGGGTTACCTGATGGCGATTTCGCAGGGGTCTTCTTGGCATCGGTGGGCTTTGCGTCTGTCTTGATGGCTGCGCGAGACGAAGAAAGGCAGCTGAGGCTTTTGTCTGGCCCCAAGCCCGCGTCTCCCTGGCTGCTCTGCCTGAAGGAGCCCCCACCCCCCCAGCCGCTGACCTCCAGGCGGTTCGGTCTGCAGCTCCCACCAGCCCCTGGTCAGCGGGTTCACAAAGGCTGCCGGAAGACACCGCGCCTGCACGCGTCTCTGCGGCAGGCTCTCAGCCGCCCCAACCGCCTCCCTCGCACGGGGGCCTTGCAGCCGCCTTGCTCCCGCAACCGTCGTGCATCTCCCCAGACTATGCCGCCCCATTCGCCGAAGCCTCGGGGCAGCTCACAACATAAATTAAAATATAATACATTAAAAATATAAAACAAATTAACAATATAAAATAAGTCGCCCTGGCCAGATAAAATAAGCAAATAATATTAACAATTAAAATGACGTTTAAATAAAAAGGTCTTTTAAATAAGGTCTTTTATCTGATAAATAAATCAGAGACCATCCACTTGAGAGCATGCTAAAAACGTCGGAGGAACCCCACGAGGCCGCTCCGTTTCTGCTTCCCTTCCGCTTAAGCGTGCCGAGCAGCCTCAAAGGCAGTTAGGGCTCCACTCTTAAGTGATGCGTCCTTTTTGCTTTTTCTTTTACACATCTCAACCTGGAACAGGAACCCTTCACACAAGCGCACAGAAAGGGGGTTGCAGCACCAGGGGGCACAGACCCAGGTACCGAGAGTGACCAATCAGCTGCTGAGTGATGGCCAGTCACCAAAAAGTACCACACAGAAGCAGAGCGAGTCAGAAGGGGCCTCCTGGGCCATCTAGTCTGACCCCCGGCTCCAGCCAGCTCCGCTCACGACATGCCCACCACCTAGCTGTTCAGGGAACACCATGTGGACCCAACCGTTCCTACTACACTGGCATCTCTCGTTTCATTTCGGGTTCTTTTTAGGCTGCCTGTAAGTAAATGAGCACAGCTTCGTTTACTACCCCCTTTTATTTTTCTCTTGCTCGTTAAGAACAAGCAGCACTGTGGAGCCTCTTCTTGAAAGCATGCGCAGGCCACGGACGCACAAACGCTCTGCCACAATGAAGGCCACAAGACAACGGGCACGGCTGCTTAATCGTCGCTAGCCAAGCCGGCCTCCACTTGGGCTCTGGGACCTGCAAAGCCTTGACACTGCTCTGAGCCAACTTACGCAGGGAGGCCGTCGGCGACACGCCAGGCTCTTTATTTCTTATTTATTTATTTAAACAACGTATATGCCGCCCCATCGCATGAGCCTCGGGGCGGCTTACAATCATTAAAATCCCATATAAAATACAAAAAATTCATCAAATAAATAAAATACAAAAAATAAAATAAAATAGTGGATCCAGCCTGGTCAATTTAAACCAACAAATAAACCATTAACAGTTAAAATAGCATTAACAGTTAAAATGGCACCGAAAAACAAATAAGGATCTCAGGGGGCGGGAGGGCATATATGGACGCAGGCGCTCCTTCAGGTAACCAGGTCCCAAGCCATCCAGGGCTTTGTAGGTGATCACCAGCACCTTGAATCGGGCCTGGTCTTCCATGGGGAGCCAGTGGAGCTGATGGAGGACCGGGGTTACAGGCAGGCCTAGGGTGCAGTTGGCTCTGCGACAGCCACGATCCCTCAGCTGGGCATCGCCCACCCCGATCTGGGCAAACCTGGAAGACAAAGACCAGGTCCCCCCCACCCCCCCGGGGCGACACTCACTGGAGGGCCTCTTGGGCGGGGAAGCAGTGGCGCTCCTAGGGCTCGACGTGCTCAGGCTGGTCAGCGCTGTCGTCGGCTTGGGGGCGGCGGGGCTGCCTTTCGCATTTGGCCGAGGGGTGGCGGCGGACGGTGGTTTCGAAGGGGAGGGCCGCTTATCCGGGCTCTTTACATCGGTCCCCTAGTGACAAGAAGGGCCACTTTCAACCAAGGGTCTTCTCTTGAGAAAGCCCCTTTCCTTGAGAACCGAAAATGAGCAGTCCCCCCCCCCCGCCCCATCCCAAGAAAATGCCCACACTGAAAATGCAGGAAAGGGCCACCCACCCCGATGCTTCCGGCCTTTCCCCGCAGAGGTTGCTCTCCCCGTCCCCAGCGCCAGCCATGGGGGTGCTGTGCGAGGAGCAGCGTAATGCACAACTCGGCAACTGAATGGCGTGACCCAGCCAGCTCAACCAGGGCGCACGTGCGGCCCACGGCCAGGTGAAACACCCCTTGGGGCCGATGGAAACGCCACCCGGTCACAGGCAGGCCCCTGCGGGCGCCCCTCTCCGTGAGACCGGGAGTTAATCCAAGTGCAAGTGGGTGGGGGGGGGGGGCAGGGGATACGAGGAGCGAAATTGGGGAACGCCGCGGGGCTGAAGCCACAGCAGGGTCCGGCACAGACTGGGCAGGCGTTGGCCCAGCCCTCCTTTCTGGAAGTCTGAAATCCAGCGGGAGGCAGCCCTGTCTCCAGCCGTGCGCAAACCGCCAATGTGACAACTCCTCGTGATCTCCAGGCTGGGACGGGCCAGGGGGCCTTTGGATACTGCCAACTAACGCTCTCATGTTTGACCAGGATCAGTCCAGGAATCCTGCATCGCGGGGGTTATCCAGCAGCCGGGGAACAGGTGAGGCCCAACTGTTTCCTCACCTAGCAGGACTCAGGTAGCACACCTTTAGAGAGCCCTGCGTGGTCCCAGGGTTCGACCTGGGGGTTAGGCCTCCCTCTCGGAGGCTTCGGGAGGAAATGATCCGAGGAAGGGATCAGAGCCCGACATGGGGCCGGACCAGGTGGTGGGGAGGGGCGTCTTTTTGGCCTTCCGAGAGCTTCCGCAGGCAGCCCTGCTGCCACGACTCATGGGAAAGCACTCTTCCGCCACGATGCAAAGCCTGGCTTTGAAGCCCGCGGCTCCCCCTCGCCCATTCGAGGCATTGCCATCCGTGATCGTGGAGCATCGCTGGGCTTCAGCAGCCTTCCTCTCCATGGGGTGCGCAACACATAAATGATCAAACGCATGCCTTCGTCAACCTGGCGCCTTCCCAATGCGCCGGAGAATCACAACCCTCCTCCTCTCCGGCCAGTGGAGCCCCCCAACCCACACGGTGGGTGCCACCCTGGACTGTGATGGCGTGGCCGCAACCACGCCATGTCGTGCCATGTGGCACATGGTGCTGCGAGCAGCTGTGTCCGGCGTGAGGCCACGGACCCAGGAGATGCTGCCCCTTCACAAAACGCTGGTCCCCAATTTTCAGGAGCAGCGATCTGTTCGTTTGAGTCATCCCCCCCCCCCCCCGCCCCCCGCCCGCACTGCCGTCTGCCAAGAGGAAGCTCTTTAATTACAGGCAGAAGAGAAAATTACTCTGTAGGCTTAGATGGAGTTTGTCCGAGACCATCTGGAACTGGTGCAATCGCTCGATCGGTTGACGCAGCTGGGAAAACATCCCTTTTCATAAAGGTGTGGGGGCACAGGAATACCTTTGGGGGCGGAGGCAAAGCTATGCTATGGGCTTCCTTTCCGCGCATAATCACCGAAACCCAACGCTGTTCCCTGGGGGCTGTTTAGAACTGTGCGCGTATTTTAAGGTGAAATTCTCCTAGTGAAGGTGTAGCGGGCTTGGGGACGTGCGGTCCAGTCCGTCCCACTTTCGCACACATGAACCCGTCACAGCGAGCGCCTGAATTTTGGCAAGTGGCACTCGGTAGCCATGGGAACTAGAGCCGAGCGAAGGCTGCTCACCTGGAGGGAAGCCTTCCCACCAGAATCTAAGCAGAAGGGCCTTTTGCTCAAGGATCTGCCCACGCCCCCACCTGGCTTCCTAACAGGAGCACTGGAGATCCCGCTCTTTCGTCCCATCCTTCCCCTCCCCACAACCAAGCTTCCCAGTGATGTCTCTGACTCTGTGACTGCGGATTCATTCTACCTCAGTTCCTCTGGAAACAGCGCTTGTGACGGACAGCACCGGTGGAAACCCGCCTTCTTTCTCCCGTTAGTCTGACCTCCATCTCCAGAGCAGCCTCCCCCTCCCCACCCGGTGCCTCCCAGGCGCTTTGGGAGGCCATTTCTGTAATTCTCCTAACGAGGAAGGGCGCCAGGTCAGCGAAGGTTGTGCTACCATCTACAGACTCTTGTGATAAAATATGAAATGTGATACAAATCCAGATATATCTCTTGTGACATGCGACTCACGCCTGATCAATACATCTCCCTGGAGGGCCTCCAAGAGGGGCTCATGGGGGCGGCTTAGTGACCAGATGCCCTTGAGTGGCACGGCCCTCGCCCCCCAAGCCAGGGGTGGGAAGCTGGCCAGCTGAGATGTGCCCAAACCCCCTTCTTCCCTGGCGTGCTAATGACACGTGTGAGTTGAGGTTTTTTTCCGGGAAGAGCAAGCCATAAAAACCGTGCCTCCCTATCTGCATTCTGGGATGTATGTTCCTGCCCATGTCCCAGGAAGTTGCTCGACCTTTCGGGGCTGCCCAAAGCGGCTGCAGCCGAAGTCACATGCTGCTTAACAGAAAGGCAAAGTGGCAGGACTTCAGCTGGGGAAAGCGGGGTGGCGATGGGCCAGACACGTGCGAAGCCGAACCCCGACCCCCGAGGCCGGGTCCTGCCCCACAGGCCGTGCCGGGGGCTCTCGGCCGGAACACGGTGCTCCTTACCTTTGGCTTGGCGTCCTTCGGAGTTAAGGTGGCGGGTCGTGCAGCGCTTGTTGCTGGCCGTTTGGGGGTGGCGGCGGCGGCAGCTGGGCCTGCGGTAGGGCTGGTGGCTTTTTTAGTTTGGCCTGGTGTGGCAGAAGCCGGCCGCTTGGTGGGGGTGGCGGCGGGGGCGGCGGGCATGGGCTTGGTTTTCGTGGCAGCAGGCTTTGCTGCTGGAGTGGCGGCTGAAGGCTTTAAATTATAACACACACGCAGACACACACACACGTACGTGTAACAAAAAGAAACGAAGCGCATTGTAAACAAAATGTTCGGCAGCAAAAACGTGAGCAAAACAAGTCAATTCAGGAGGAACAGAAAGGCAGCGCGTTCAGTTCTCTGAGCGAAAGCGTGACCACGGCGGGGGGGCCACCGGTGCCACTTGGACAGCATGGAGCCTCCCCGCCTGCTCCGGACGCCCCTGGGAAAGGGGACGGCGACGCCAGCCTTGCAGCGAGGGGCTGCCTCCGCAAGGTGACGCCTCTGCCGGCACCCTGCTCTGGCCGAGCGGGTGGGAGGGCGGGGGACCGGGGCAGTCCTGCGGGGAGATCAGCAGAGCCCCCTGCCCCTCCGCCTGCGGGCTCGCCTTCAGCAGCCCACGGGCAAAGACGGCAGCGGGAGCAAGCCGCCCCCATTTGCACCCCCGCCCCCCGCTGGTCAGGAGACAATGCTGAAAAGACACCGCAATGCCGAGAAGTTCTCCTTTCCCTCCCTGCCTCCCACATCGTGCCGGGGATCGGGCCAAGGGGCTTGGGGCAAAGGGTGCGGAGCAGACTTCCTGGTGGGAGGTCCCCGGATCAAAGACGGACTTCCCACTTGGAAGGATTAGCGCTTCCCCGCTTGGGGCTCTGGAGAGCTACCCGTCCGTCCGGACCGGCAAGCAGCTGGCTGGAGGAACAAGCAGCCCTGGAAGCCACGCGGCCTTCCCATCACGCTGGCACAGCCCCGGGAGCTGCCCTGCAGGAGCCCAGCCCCTGGCCCATCCGGCTCAGTGCGGCCGGCACTGACCGGCAGCAGTGGCCCTCCAGGGCGTCAGGCGGGGGTCTTCCAAAGCCCCCCCCCCACCGAGGAGGCCCGAGGGGGTCAAAGGCTGCTGCTCTCCCCAGGAGCCTCCCCGCAAAGGGAACGTGCGGCACATCCTTCCGCCAGGCGGCTGTGTCCCTAGCGCCACCAATCCACCCGGGAGAGAAAGAAAAGCAGCGGAGTCAGCGTCCATTCGGGACTGTCTCCTGACAGGCTGAGTTTCCTTCGAGAATCTGAGAGCAGGTTTGCCCGCGCCCCCAGGGGCCTTTGCAAGAGGCCAGGCGTCCCAGGCCTGTCGGTGCCCGAGGGTTCCTCCTGGCACTCAGCTGGGCTTGCAAACGCAGTTCTGGAGCAAAACACTCCCTCGTTCCTGGATCCCTCTTACGACCTGACCACCAGTTGGACTTGGGAGGTGGGGGGGGGCTTGGGCAAGGGAAGGGAAGGGAAGGGGGTCTCCTGAGGCCACCAGCTCAGAGAACAGAACTTATCATTAGCTCAAGCGGGGAAGAGAAGAAGCAGGCACAGGAGACTAAAACCCGCAGAGTGAGAAGGGCTGTCGGATGACCCTCACCTTGGCTTTCTTCTCGGGGCTTGGCGGAAGCTCCTTGCTGGGAGGGGCGGCCGCGTCGTTCACCCTCTCAACCTCCGCGTCCGGCTTTGCCTCTTCTGGTTTTGCTGCCCAAAGCAAAAAGGAGACGACAGGCACTCAAATTTCACCCATCGGAACGGTTTTCAGCAGAGTCGGCAGGGCGGCATGAGAGAGAGAGACAGAGACAGACGGGGCCCGCGGAGCATGGCCAAGGCAATGGGGATCACGGCCTACTCCATGTCCGCAGTGGACAGAAAGCCTTCCTATCACACAGGGAGTGGATTTCCACATGCTGGTTACAAAGCCTGGGTCACTTGATTGTTTAGAAAGCAAACTTCCCACTGCTAGGCTCAGTCTGGAACAGTGGTGCATTCACAAGGCGCACAAGGGCGTCTGTCCCCCCCCCCCCCGTGCGAGGACACACCCGCCTCGCCGACACAGGGGTCCTTGCCGTCTTCCACGGAGCAAGCAGTGTGCAAGTGTTCCGACTGTGTGATGAGTTTATGCGCCGAGCGGACACTGGTCAAGATGCCATGGCTGCCCCAGCACGGACGACACAAGTGGCTATTCCACCTGCAGCTCATGTGGGGGCCCAGAGAAACCCCTTGATTCCGCAGTCACAAGCCCCCACACGCAGAGGAATGCAAAGCCCAGTATTTTAATACCCGCATGCAATCAGAACACGCTCCCGAATGCCAAACATCCTGGGCCTGCAGACCACAACACTCGGCGGTTGAGCGACATTCAAGCTCTTTTTGCTTCTTTTCAGTCCCGCGTCACGGCAGGGCGTCCCTGCAGCCCATCTGGACGCGGCTCTTTCCTCGACACGGGGCCAGGAGGTGCAGGCAGGAGCTGGCATTCCGGCGGCTCCCGCTGCCGGGGCTTCCTACTTCTCTTCTGCCTTGGGTTTAAGTGTGCAGGAACGGGGGAAGTCCCTGTAGAACCCTATACAGGAAGGCGGGGGACACTCCCCCTTCATTCTGTGTTGGATCCCCCATCCCACGGAAGCCCGCCCAAGCCCGCTTTGTTCAGGTGCCCACCTCCCAAATCCGGCCCATGGGCAAAAAGCAGGTCGCGGCAAAGCGGGGCGAGTGCGTGTGAGGGGGTGGTGGTGGGTGAGCCTCATCTCTGCCCCCAAACCACCACGAGCGATTAATGCGCGTCAGCATTTTCTTTGGCCTCTGGCAAGGGAACATGCAATTCAGACGGTCACGAGGGCAAAATTCACACCACAGAAAAATGGGCTGTGCTGGGGGCCAGCAGCCCCAGGCCTCTGGCCAGACTGAATCGGCAGCCAGGTCACGGAAGGTCCCGGGCTTCGAGGCTCAGGGTTATCTGCTGCCTCCTGCAAGTTCAGGGGGGGCACAAGGACAGGCAGGGCCACAAGGAACCGGGTGGCTCCACACGCTTCATGCGAGATCGACTGATTGACGTTCCCGCCGATTCAGCCGCCCCAGTCCTGCTCCCTGGCCATTCTGGTCGGCCGTCGCTCAGAAACTGTTGGTTTAAGCACAGGCAGCATCCCCAGGGTGCACCTCCCACTCGAGGCATCCATGGCCCGTCTTCCCTGCCCCTTCTCCGAGGAGTCTGCAGCGGTCCGCGAGGCTTCCTGGCCCCCCGGCCGGCCGGCCGGCCGGCCATCCGCACAACCTCCCCGGTGAGGTCGGCCAAGGCTGGGAGAAGTGACTGGCCCAAGATCACTTCCTGAGCTTCAGAGCCGAGCAAGGTTTGCATCTGGTCCTCTCCAGACCTCATCCAAATCTCAGGGCACAGCGCAGCACAGGTCTCACGTGGCACAGACAGAGCGATGGGATGGAACACACACGGGGCCGAACTGTCGAGCCTCTCCCCACCGGAGGTCCTCCAGGTGTGCTGGACCACAGCTTCCAGCACCTGCTCCAACACACCTGGGGCACACCAGGTCGGGAAAGGCTGAGCCATTTCGGAATGCTTTTATCATGCTGATCCCTTCTCTTCCGTTCTCAGCAGTTTCCCGTTTGCCCCTCCCCTGGCCTGCACATCCCTTTGCAAGCAAACCCCCCTAATGGCAGGTCCCCAGCCCCTCCCACTCCCTCCCTCCAGCCCACCCACCCAAATGTATTACCAGCCAAAGCCGCTTTGTCTTTCTGAGCAACTGCAACCCAGTGTTGGGAGCCGGGCCTTTTGATCCTTCGTAACTTTGCTGGGGTGCCGATGGAATGAGACTACCGAACCACATCCCTGAACCTTGAGCAGCATGGCAAGAAGGTCTGGACTGAGCCAGAAACGCACAGGCAATCTAGGTTCCTCTCTCTGAATACCTGCCCCGACTTGATACCCTCCAATTCCCACAACTGGCCTGCAGTTCCCGTAACTGGGAAACACGGCCTGGGCAGCTGGGATCGAGCGCTATGCTAGCAGATGAAGCGACACCCCCGCCCCCGGCATGCACCCGTGCCGGGCACGCCGTCATTCTGGAAGGCGAAGCAGTTCAATGTGGTTTTCACGGGGAGGCGGCACCCTGCCTCCTCAGAGGAACGCCTGATTACTGTGTGCGCAAATGCTAACTCGATTTGGGCAGCTCCTCCAGAGGACCACCAAAAGAGAAAGCGCGCCAGCGCAGCAAGGCGAGAACGCCGGGCTCTCCCCCTCCCTCGTCCGCTGAATTTGCCGCCCACCGTGCTCCTCGGCGCACATTTGCTTTCATTCAGCATTTAATTACGAGGCCGCCCTTTCTCAGAGTGCTGGAGCATGAATGCTCGCCCCCCTGCCCACCCTTCCGGGGAATACGGGCGGGCGGGGGACTGCCAAATCTCAAGCAGGCTTCTTCGTTAGTTAACAAAGACTTGTGCAAGAGAGTTGCTGACTGCGGGGACAGCGAGCGAGGAAGTTCGAGTCCCCCTCCCAAAAGGAACTGCACGTCATCTCCCTCCAAAACACACTGGACAGGAGGGTCTTGACCCCCCTGTCCCCCTTTTGAGCAGTACGCACAGCAACACGTGGAGGTTGTTATGGGGAGCACACACAAGGTCCGGGAAGATAGACTGCTCTTGGTCCTGGAGGAACCCCTGCAAGCTGACGGGGAGCCTTCATGGGCTGCATAAGGCGCCTAGCCCGGAGGTGCCCCACCTGAAGCCAAACCAGGCGGCCAACAGAAGCCAAAATTCAGGATGAGGACGGAGATATCAATCGGGGCAAAGATAAGAACGGTCCTGTTGGCTTGGATGGACTTGCTCTCTGTAATATTTAATGTTTAATATTTATAGATTTTAATTTTAATTGTGCAGCCAGTGTGTTTCTGGGTTTTAACTGTAATTGTAACTATTCTGTATTTTGTATTTATTCATTTCTGTAAGCCGCCCCGAGGCTATGTAGCAAAGGGACGGCATATAAAAACTTCAAATAAATAAATAAACTAAATAAAGGGGGTGGGGGAACGTGCAGAAGCTGCATCAGAAGGGAGAACCCAAGAAAAGCTTGATCGGGGTGAGCACTGAATACTGGGCACAGCAAAACCCTGAAGAAAGAGGTCTCTCTTACTGAACCCCGGGAAAGTTCAGGGCAGCCTGGCGGCAAAGAAGCTGCCGCGCCCTGGAGGAGTTGTGGATCCTCTCCCTCGGAGAATCAGGCATCGCTGCCAGAGACACCACCGGGGGGGGGGGGGGGTTAGGGCATCCTTCTCCAAGTTGGCGCCCTTCTGTGACATCACAGCTGGCTGGGGACGATGTGTTCTGCAACTGGAGGCATCTGGAGGGTGCGGTGTGGGGAAAAGCTGCTCAGGGTCGCGGAGCAGGGCCACTTGGGTCCCTCTGCAGCACTCACAGGGAGCCGCACCTCGGTGACCCTGGGTTTTGCTCCAAGGCCAGTGCCGCCAGCCCCGAGGCTGACGAGGGAGGCCGAGGGCTTGGCCTGGTTCCCCAGTAACTCCCCATGGGCTCTTGCGCTCCTCGGACTGGACCAACGGCCTTACGGGCTGCATGACTGGGTCACCGCACCTGCATATTCACAAGACCCCTCATGGAGTGAGTGCTATTTGTACTGGAGGAAGAAACGGATGGAAGACGGAGCCCATCCTGTGATGTGACATTCACTCTGGCTGGCTCACCACTAGATAATCTGCAGCGATGCCAGACACAATTATTCTTGAAAAGGGAATCTCTGAAGAGTGGCCATTAGCTCGATGCAGCGACTCAAGTATGCGCATATCCTGACGAAAGGGTCTGTGCCAGCATTCTGTTTGGGAAGGCGCCAAAGGACTTCCTCACCCCTCCCCACCCCTTTCTCAATGTCTCAGTAGTCCAAATTTAGGAATGGGAGCTAAACCGGAGTTGAGGGGCCAGCAAAGCTGCTGCCAGCGGAGCTGTGCCAATCTACTGGCCGGGGAGTCGTAGCCGAGTCCGGCCAGGGCACGTGACTCCGAGCAACGGGACGGGAGCGAGGGATGTGGGTGCCACGACCCCGCATGAACAGGCTCTGGCATCAAAGCTATCACACCGGCCTTCCTCACCCTAGTGCCACTGGATTGCTGGACTGCAACTGCCCCACGCTGGCTGGGGCATTCTGGGAGTCGTGCTCCAGTCCGGCTCGAGGGCACCAGGTTGGAGAAGCCGGGCCAGCCAGCAGATGGTTCCAGAGCGGTGAGCAGGGGGCCAAGCAGACTTCCGTGGAAAAATCGCACTGCACGAGGATCACCAGCTCAGCACCCCACCCCACCCCACCCCACCCCACCGGGTGAAGAGGCACACGGAAGCGGAGGCCGTGATGGACAAAAAGGGGGTTGCACAGCACACAGAAACTCCAACAGAGGAACTTGCAGAAGGGAAAGGTTTGGGCTTTCCTCTGAGTCTAAAGCATGGCTGGAGATGTTCGTTGGCCACCCCCCCCCCCCGCAGATCTTGTTGGAATACAACACTCACCAACCCCAGCCAGCATAGCCAACGTACAAGGATGACAGGAGGTATGCTCCACAACAACTGGCCTACACGTATGACATCAAACCAAGACAAAGCTTTCCCTCGAGGTATCAGCAAAGCCATCGGCCAGGGAGGCCTTCGGAAAGCTCTTGGAAAAACAACTGAAAAGATGTGTTCTGGCATCACCCCAGAAA